CAGCCCTGCTTCCTACACTTCAAGGGCTTCTCTCTAGGGCATCCTGTGGACTTCCCTGGAGCACTTGCTTGGGGCAGAGATCACAGGCAGGTCACCCTAGGTGGAGAATAGCACTGGTAGGGCCCCAGAATCCAGGGCTGAGGCTGAAGCAGTGCTAGGACTGAGGGCATGGGGCCTCATAGGCTGTGTGGAGGCAGGCCTCTAGTTCTGGGGCCACCGGGGCCGCTGGGTAAAGATGACAATGACACATTTAAGGACTTCACTCTTGTAATAATGTGAAGAATGGACTTGGGAAAGCAGGAGCCAAGATGTGAGGCAGGAGGCCAGTAAAAGGGCACTGTGGTGGTGAGGAGGCCTGGATGGTGCCAGGAAATGGAGTTGGGAGAAAGTCACTAGAAAATCAGGACAGGCAACACTGGGAAGTGGAAGAGATATGGAAAGGTCCTGGGTAGGGTGAGGGGTGCTGAGGTGCAGACCCAAGGCCCTGAGAGGAGGCTGGAGGCACTGGGAAGCTGTGTTGGACAGCTTCCTTTGCGGAGGGATGTAGTTGAGACTGCAGAGTGAACTTTCTGATAGCAGCAGCATCTTCTTGGACATGAGAAATCATCCTGAGGAAGTCTTTTGCTGTGAGAGATCCCAAGCTGACCAGACCTTGGTGCCGGGCCACGGATGGGAGGATTTGGGGTAGACAGCTGGGCATGTGGGCAGACCAGAGCAGTCTCCTGAGTCTGTGCTGACCAGAATACTGCTCAGCCTCAGCCCAGGCACGTCTGGGGCTCTCTGGGGCCATCACTGAGGCTGTCAGGCTGCTGAGCTCATGGCACAGAGCAGAACTAGCCCCTGCCTTCCTAGAGCCCCTGGCGTCCTCAGCTGCCCTTGGGGGCTGGGCCAGGGCTGGGTGGCCAGGTCTCCCACGAAGCTCTCAACAAGTTCCAGGCCTCTCCTCCTGTGCTCAGATCCCACCCCCTCAGTCACCCCCCCCCCATCCTTCAGAGAGAGAGCAGGAAGTTGGGGGTGGGGGTGGCAGGGAGGTTTCTAATGGGCCTTGTCCCGGCCCTGAGGACTGTCTAAAGGGCCTGGGGCTGCCAGCCACTGGGCTCAACCTCCAGGTTTCTCAAATAGGGTCAGAGCTGGTTCAGAAGTCCTGTGTGGGCTGAGCTGAGGGATCCAAGTCATCTTCCTGGCTGGCAGGCTATCCCCTCTCCTTGGGTCACAGGGAGACATGAGGCTTGGCCAGGGAAAGTGGTTTGGAATGGCCTTTGACAGCATCCCTGGGGACTTTTAAAAATGAGTTTCCTGGTAAGGAAGACTCTCAGGCTTTGGGAAGGATTCTCGGTAGAGTCTCCCGGGTTTGCTCTGATCCGACAAACGCCAGCAGAAACCACCCGGCTGTCTGCCTTCCAGCAGTGCTGGGAGCCGTGGCTTCCCCAGATGCAGCGTCAGCAAGATGAAGCAGCCAAGGCACAGGAGTGTTTGCTTTAAGGCCCATGCTAAGCCCCAGGGGTGGAGGGGTGTGCAAAGGAGAGCCCACCCCTTGGCTTTACCCTCTAGGTTCCTAGCTTCTCAAGGAATGGCTGATACTACAAGTGATGCCAGAGGGGATCGCCAGTGAGTCATGACAGGCCAAGGCCTCTGTCAGGTGGACAGTGAGTGTCCAGGCTGCCTGAGGTCATAGAAGGAGCAGGCTCTGGCTTCTCTCACCTCTCTGCCTCCTGCCAGCTCTTCTGGGACTAAGGTATGTCTATATATTTTTTTTCTTAAAAAAAATTTTTTTTTCTAGATGATTTTAGAGAGAGAGAAGAAGGGAGAGGGAGAGAGAGATAGAAACATCGATGAGGTTGGCTACCTCCTGTATGCCCCACACTGGGGATTGGGCCCACAACCTGGGCATGTGCCCTGACCATGAATCAAATCGGTAACCTCTTGATGCATGGTTCGACACTCAGCTACTGAGCCACTCAGGCCAGGCTATATGTCTATATTTAAAAGGCCCACCCTGGGCCAATGACTGTGGGAGAATGTGGTCAAGTATGTAAAGGGAGGAGAGGAGACCAGAGGTGGGGATGGACAGAGTCCATAAGGCCTGATCTACATCTCAGCCCCTCTACATCTGACTGTTGGACTCTGGTCAACTTTCATGTTCCTTCTGATTTCCGTTTTCTGAGTCTGTGAAATGGGTGTGCCTAGAAGGTCCAGCACACATGTTGCTCCTGGCAGGGGGCTGTACTCACCAGGGCCCCATCTGTTTCTAGTTAAAATGGATCTTGCTTCCCACTTATGTTGGGGGTGCTGACTCCCTCCTGACCAATGCCAGGTGTTGGATGGAGTTAGTGGGGACTGGAGAGGGGAGAGGGTAATAGGCAGTGAGGAAGTTGTCAAGTAAGTGAAAGGGAGAGAAGTGGACAGGTTTGGGTCAGGCTAGGCTTCCAGCTGCTGTCTGCTCCATAACCTCTTCTAGTGGGGATTTGAGCACCTGCTGTGCCTGGACCAGAGCCTCCACCCACTTTTTTTTTTTTTAAGTATCACAGTGTTTATTGATAGATGAATGTACATAATTACCGCTGAGCCGAACCGGTCAGGGCGAAACCATGTTTCTTTTAAAAGAGTTTGTGCCCTTGCCCAGAGTCAAGGATATTAACATCTAGCACATGAAGCCCATTATTAGAGGTAGAAATACAGGTGATACACTATTACATCAACAACCATTAGTTACAGTTAAGAATTTTTCTGTAACAACCAAATGAATAGTCAAATATTACTGAGCAAAGCACCTTACATCCATGTTTTATTCTAGGCATAAGCAGGCCTTGGCCAGACTGTGGTGGGGATGGGGAGAAGTAGAGACCTGGACAGAGGCTTGTGACAGACTGCCTGGGGTAAGGACATACAGTTGTCCTTTACCACCTCGCGCTTCTTTCGTGGCTTCACTCTATCACGGTTTTTTCAAATACTATACTATACTATATTTGAAAAAACTGTGATAAAGTGAAGCCGCTAAAGTTGAAGTGCGAGGTGGTGAGGGACGACTCGTATAAATAAAGAATCCTACTTTGCGGTAGAGTCTGGAACTGATTAACCATGATAAATGAGGGTCAGTTGTATGAGTTTGCACATCTTTTGAGCAAAAAGGCAGCAGAATCATGTGGCAAAGCAGGCTATTGGCTTCTCCCTGCTCCACCTTGCCTTTAGTTCTATTCCCCTTTTGGTTGGCCATAGAAAAGTAGGTGTGAATGGTAAAAGCAGTACATGGTGCAGGCCTCCTACAGCCCTCATGAGTTTAAAGTTTACTCTGTGTGTACCCAGGAACCACGGAGGAGCTGAGTGCTGCCTGCTACCTGGGTGCCACCCAGAGATGCAGGTGGAAGGGGTCTTACTCCAGCACCATGCACACTTCTCCCTTCCTCCCCTCTCTCCCTCCCACATGCTCTTGCATCTCTACTTTAGCACGTCTGACTTTAGCTGGGAGCATTCTTCTCTTCACGGGGTACAGAAGGAGGGTCATCACAGGGGGCCCTTAAGCCTATAGATGGGTTATGTGCCCTACTCTTTCCTCTTTAAGCAGCCCAGAATAGCATGACCTTATAGACTCATGGACACACACGAAAGCCTTGGTCAGGGGGTCCTGTGGAAATGTTCACCTTTCCTATTGTCCTCCGGGTAACTTCCCCAGTGGACAGAAAACATGCAGTCACCTGCAGCAGATGCCAGCCCCAGCTGTTGTGCCTTCATATACACATGCACACACACACATTCCCTTCTCAGCCACTGTCCTTGGTACAGTGTTCCTATTTCAAAATTCAGGAGTAACCCTTCTGCTGTCTTTACCAGCCCTCTCCCTAGTCTTTTATTCATTCCACAGTTCTTTACTGGGCATCAAAACGCACCAGAACTACTCTGTTTTAGACTCTAGGATACCACAGTGACCAAAAGCCTCAGCTTTAATGGAGCTTATATGTCCTGTGTGAGGTGGGATATTTGTTACAAAGAAAACTAGCACAAGTGGAGGGTGATGGGGCTGTAGGAGAGGCCTCTGAAGTGGGGGTGTGAAGAGCAGTCATCACTTTCCAGGCAAGGGGACAGGGAAAGGCCCTGAGGTGAGGATGTACAGATAGTTGATGTGGTCTGCTTTGTATTTTAAGAATATCACTCTGGCTGTGTGTGGAGAATAGACTGGGTGGTGGGAAGCAAGGGCGAAAGCTGAGAGACTGTTAGGTTGTTGCCATGATCTTCTGAGTCTCACTTGTCCTGCCTCTGTCATTTCCTCCCTTTTCTTTCACCATTATACCTAAGAGCTCAGGAGAGCCTGTAGGATTGGCTTGTCTGCCCTGCCACCCCTAAGGCAAGGCCAGTCTTTTTTCTCAGCATCTTCTCCCCCTAACACATTTTTTACATTTCTGCCACTTGTCACTTACACCATCCTCCTGGCTGTTTACCTTAGTATTTTCCCGTCCTTGTCCTCTGCTGTGGCCCTCTCATCCTCTCAGTCCTCTCTTGGTGCCCTCTCCACTCTATCCCCAGGGATATGGCATCTCCTTTATTTCATATATATTATTTCTGCCTGGGGATATGTTGAATTGTTCTGCTATCCCTGAGGCCCTGGAAGGCAGGGCCTGTGTCTTATTCTGCTCCTGGTTAGGGTCATCCTAGAGCCCACCATGCAGAAGGGTCTCAAAGGCTTATGAATGGCACCTTAGGTCAGGGTTTCCCAGGTCTTGTCATTTGTAGGAACAATGGTTCTACTTGTGCTTAGACTCTGTATTGTGCTTGGACAGTATACTGGCTTGTGGCCCAAGGGTCTGGGGCACCTCTAGGGCCTTGGATGACTGCTTTGGAGTAGGCCCTGAGCCAACAGGGAGGTGGAGTTGGAGACAGGAAATCAGGGAACAGCAGGACTCAACTCCAAGGGAGAGGCTAGGGCCAGAATCGGGTTGGGGATGGGGACTCAGGGCTCTGGGGAGACTCAGCATGGCCGGCTCTCACACCCCACCCTTGGGTTTCAGACCTGAAGCTGCACCTGCAGAGTACTGACTACGGCAACTTCCTGGCCAACGAGGCGTCACCACTGACAGTGTCAGTGATTGATGACCGGCTTAAGGAGAAGATGGTGGTGGAGTTCCGCCACATGAGGAACCATGCCTATGAGCCACTTGCCAGCTTCCTGGATTTCATTACGTGAGTGTGCCTTGCCTCCTTCCCAGCTGGGCAGGACCTGGGGGACCAGATGGACCTGGCCTAGCATGGGCTTAGCCCACTGCCGATAGAGTCCTCCTGGGCTATATGGCTGGGCTGGTCATTCAGCAACACTGGACCTCCAGGCCACCACCCATAGAGTAGGATCACCAGCCACTTCACTGCTGACTGGGAATCTGGTGGGCAGGCAAGTGTCCCATGTTGTAGTTTTGGATGAAGCCCCTTTCCCTACACCCCTGGTGTTACAGAGAATGGGGTGGGAGACCAGGGATGATGGGAACCCTTTCCTCACTCACCTTACAGCACCCACAATAAACACTTACTGGGCCCCCAACCCCCATGTCAGGGTCAGGAATCGGGGGATGGACAGAGCTCTGAAGAGCCAGAGTTTTGGGATGGACCATTCAGGATTTCTGGCTCTGTCTGGGCTGAGGCCTATTCCTCATCTTCTCTGACCATGGCCCTAGGTTTCAGGGAGAGGGGATGATTGGGTTGGGGGTGCCTTTCCCATTTCTGGCCAGACCCCCATGCTTATGACCCTTGGCTGCCCAGTTTATCCTATTGTCTAACCGTTGGGTGTAGCTCTGCCTCTTCTAATCTCCTAGAGATGCTGAGAGAGGAAAGGACTTGGGATCTGCAAGCTAGGGGAGGGCACTTGGACAGGGCAACCTCTGCTTGCCAGGTGTACCTCTGGAAACAGGGAAGTAGAGAGGCCCCCCTGTATAGTGACTCCCAGGAACCATGAGCCAGGGCCTGATGGACAAAGATGGGCTCACACAGTGGTGAGCAGAGGCATAGTTGAGGCTGGTTTGTATGAGTGTGTTCTGAGTTGGTGGAGTGTGAGTGTGTTGTTGAGCAGTATTTTCAGGCACTCTTCTGGGTACCACCTAGCTTTTCCCATTCCCTGGTTGCGGTGCCCCCACTCTCCTCCTTGGGACCTGACCTGCTTGTCCTTGAAGGGACAGGGCTATTCCTGCTGCTTGCTTGATACCCCACCCCCTAGGAGCAGCCACTTACTCAAGATCCACATGGTCACATGGGGTCTGCAGCTATAAGGGTACCATCCTTAGGTGGGGGCCACAGGCTGGATATCCAAAAGGCCCAGGGAACCTGACCAGGTTGGGAAGCAGGCTCTCTCCTGGCCACAGGCTTTCCTCCCAGGGTCCTCCCGCTGTCCTGGCGGGCTCATAACACTGCCCTAGCCCTGGTCAAGGTATAGCTGACATGGTCCTACTGAGGCAGGAGGCCAGAGATAAGGTGTGTCTTGTGCTGATGCATTGGGGAATTACACCACAGAACCCCATCTGTCAATCAACCCCTAGCCTGGGCCTGTGTATCCCTTGCCTCAAGGCCAGAGCTGAGGACATACAAGGAAACATACAAGTGTGTTTATTGCCAGAGCCTGGCCTTCATCTTGTTTGCACAAGGTTTCTTTAGTTTCCTGATGAATGTTCTGGTCTTTCTTGCTAGGCTGGCCAGAGGAGGCCTGACCCAACCTCATGCCAGTGGTCAGAGAGCAGATGTCCTCTCTTGGCTACCTGCCTGTGTAGCTTGCCCCTGGCCTGTCTTGCTGCCCTCAGAGACTTTGTCTCGGCCTGCCAGGCCATGAAACCGGAGAGAGCTCTGAGCGTGACTGAGGCCACACAGCTGCCAGCTCTTTGCTGGAGGTTGGCTGCAAGCACCAAGTATGCTTAAAGCAGCCAAGCACTATCCTGTGGCAGGCTGTCGCTTCCCACCCCTTCCATTCATGGGTGATTGTGGCTTACAGTCTTTCTATCTCCTTATTCCTGCCCTTACTAAGGAAGAGCTCAGTAGCCACGTGTCAGCCTGTCTGAACCTGTGGCTGCTCAGTCCATGACCTTGTCATCTCCAGTGACCCGCTCCTCTGCTCTCCACTTCAGCCACCCCCACAGATGGCTGCCCAAGACCATGTCACCACCTGGAACTGCTCCACTATTGAAATCGCTGAGTCAGACACCCCCTCTCTACCCACAGCCTTCAGGCCCTCCAGCCCACTTTTAGTCCCTTGTGGGACGCGGATTCCGGACTTAGTAGGACACGGGGCCTTGCTTCCTCCCCTGCTGTCCCTCTGTCTTCACTTTCCTCCCTCTCCAGCTGAGGTTTCCTGGTCCATCATTCTAGCACTCTTCTGCCAACATCCGCAGGTCTCTTGGCTGCCCATCCCATGGTCCCGCCCAGCTGGCAGCCTCCCAGCCCTGGAAGAATCCCAGCAGCCTCAAGCCTGGAGGCACCCTCCCCCACCTCCCGCTGCTGGAAGCAAAGCTGGGGAAGCCAGCAGCTTTGGGCAGGTGATCCTTGCTGCCAGACATGCACCCAGACCAGCTCAGTTGGCCTTGGGTTGTCCCTGCCCAGTCAGCTGCTTGCTCTCCCTAGTCAGCACCCCCATCAAGGGTGGGAAGACCATCTTCCCATCTTAAACACCATCCATCTCCCATCCCCCAGTCTTCTCTCTGGGCTAATGACCCACCTCCTGCTCCATGGAGACAATAGAGGCCACTCTGCCTCCCAGCATGGCATCTATACCTCCAACCCCAGTCCAGTGGCAGAGGTGCTCTCCTCTTCTTTTGGGTACTACACCCAATGTCCTCTGTCCCCTCACCACACTCCCTGGACCCTGAGTGGCCATTAATCTGCACTTCTATCTGTGCAGCATCTAAATGACCTCAAATCCCACACCATTAAAAACCCATCTCTTGGGGCCTAAAATTTTATTTATTTATTTTTAAATTTTTATTTATTGATTTGAGAGAGAGAGAGGGTGAGAGAGAGAGAGATATTGATTTTTTTAAAAAAATCCTTACCCGAGGATATCTTTCCATTGATTTTTATTTTATTTTACTTTTTAATAATATCTTTTTTTTTTAATCCTCACCTGAGGACATTTTTTCCATTTTATTGTTCAGACAGAGTGGAAGGGAGAGAGCGAGAGAGAGAAACATCAACGTGAAAGGGACACATCTAGTGGTTGCCACCCGCATGACCAACAAGGGCCAGGGACAAACTGCAACCGAGGTACATGCCCTTAGCGGGTCTCTCAGGACCGCAGGCCAACGCTCTAACCACTGAGCAAAACTGGCCAGGGCTTCCATTGATTTTTAGATAGAATGGAGGGAGGGGGAGAGAGAGAAACATTGATATGAGAGAGACACATTGATTGGTTGCCTCCCTCACGACTCCAACCAGGGGCTGGGGATTGAATCTGCAACCAAGGTACGTGCCCTTGACTGGGAATCAAACCTGCAGCTCTTTGGTTCGCGGGCTGATGCTCCAACTGTTGAACCAGACCAGCCAGGGCGGAACATTGATTTTTTTTTTTTTATCCTCATCAGAGGACATTTTTCCATTTTTTGTTCAGATAGAGTGGGAGGGAGAGAGAGGAAGAGAGAGAGAGAGAGAAACATCGACGTGAAAGGGACACATTGAGTGGCTGCCACCCACACAACCAACCAGGGCTGGGGACAAACTGCAACTGAAGTACGTGCCCTGAGGGGGAACCAAACCCGGTCTCTCTGGACCGCAGGCCGATGCTCTAACCGCTGAGCCAAACTGGCCAGGGCGGAACATTGATTTTTGATGTTCTACTTTTTTATGCATTCATTGGTTGATTCTTGTATATACCCTGGCTGGGGATTTAGCTCTCAACCTTGGCATATTGGGACAATGTTCTAACCAACAGAGATACTTGGCCTGATGTAAACTTTTATATTCTATCTGTTCTTTCACCTTCCCCCACCCTTTGAGCCTCCAGTCAGCTTCTAGCAGTTCCATCACTCCACCACAAGGCTCTGGCTAAGGTCACCACTGACTTTCATGTGGCAAAGGTCTCTAGGCCTAATCAGGAGGTACACCTCTTTCACTCCCCTTCCAGCAGTCTCCTTCTTCACATGATGTCTCTCTAATTTAACTCCTACCTCCTTTGCTGCTCTTCTCCACTCCACCTCCTCTAATTGGCTCAACCTGGGAATGAGGAGTGGTGTTGCCGAAAGGTGTGAACCCTTTCATAGAGGTTGAGGATCTCCCCAAGTTGAGACCCAGAATAGGTTTCCCTGAGAAGGTAACTATGAGGAGGGGAAGGGTATTAAGAGGAAGAATTGGGGGAGGGGGATTCTGGACTGAGGGGGGTGGCCATACACTCAACCTGAGCAGCTGAAGCATGGAACTCCACACCCTACAGATGTCTAGAAGAAGGTAACCAGAGAGGAGAGTGCAGTCCTCAAGGTGGTGGAAGTGTCAGCTAGAGGCTCCATCCTGGGTGTGAAGACTTGGAGGAACAATGTCATCGCTGCCCACAGGCAGAGCTGGCCCTGCTGGGGCAGAGATTGGAATCCACGGAGGTCACACCTTAGCTCCATTGCTCAGAGTCTCTTTGTTGCCTTCAGAGTTGCCCCAGGGTGGCTGGAATGGGCTCCTGCAGGAGGCAGTGAGTTCCTTGTCACTGAAGGTGTGGAAGCAGAAGCTGATCAAGACTTCCGCTACCCTCCTGTGGTTTTGTAGATCTCACCCAGCCTTCAGCCACCACACGTGACTAGTATCAGCTCTGGGCCAGGCTCAGTGCCAGGATAGGGGGAGATATATGGATGCAATGGGGTAGGTGCCAGCAGTAATGTAGATAGCTCCTGGAGAGGCCTGTGAGCAGCTGCCACAAATAGAACCATGGGTCACAGGAGGTTTCCCAGCATTGAGAGGAATCTGAGATCAGGTGGGGTTAGAGAGGCCACTAGGGAGAGCAGGTGGCTGGAATGGAGGTAGCTGCTTGGTGTGGGGCAGACAGACCTTAAGTGAGAGAGGTTCCTTTGAAGTAGGCTCATCAGTCTTGAGATGATTCAGCTCAATCTCATGCAGTAACATGTGATAAGTTGCTGCACCAAGGGCTCCTTTCAGGCCCATCCATTAACTTGCTGTGTGACTTGGGATAGAACCTCTATTAGGGATTTTTGGCTTTGGAGGGAGTCTTGATCTGGGCCATTCCTTGATATTTTCCCATGTAAAACTAGGTCCTGAAGGGAAGCTGTGAGAGTTGCTTGTGGAAGAAGTGTCTGGTCACTGGGGATTTTTAGGTGGGCCCCAAAGACTCTTGTCCTTAGTTGATTGAGCCTCCCTGCTTGCAGCCTGGGCATGGTAACCATCTTTCTCTTGGGCCAGGGGCCTCAGTGCTACCAGCCTGGAGTGGGCAGCTGGAAGGGAGCTTTGTCCCAGAACAATGGCCTCAAGTGCCCAGTGAGCCTGTTAGCACACTTGCCATTCTCCCAGGATATGTTGCTCCAACCTTGGGCCCTGCTGCATCAGATTTCCAGGATAGGCTTTCTCCCTATCCTAGCCCTCCAGCCTTGCTGGCCACAACTGGTGTTTTGGGGTTGATGGCAGGGTCTCTATAGGTTATGGCTCTAGACCTGCTGTGGTTTGAGTCCTGGGCTAGACCTTGGTCCTACCTTGAGGGAGAGGTATTTACCCACACTGTTTACCTGAGCCTGGGGAAGAACACACAGGAGCTCTTCAAGGCCCAGAAGGCTCACATCAAGTGGGAGCCTCTGGGATTGGGACAGGATTTTTTTTTTATCCTCACCCGAGGACATTATTTCATTTTTTGTTCAGATGGAGTGGGAGGGAGAGAAAGAAAAGGAGAGAGAGAGAAACATCGACGTGAAAGGGACACATTGAATGGCTGCCAAGGTACACGCCCTTAGCGGGAACTGAACCTGGGTCTCTGGACTGCAGGCTGACGTGCTAACTGCTGAGCCAAATCGGCCAGGGAGGGGATTTTTTTTTTAATCCTCACCCGAGGATATTTTTTACATTAATCTTCAGATAGAGCTAGAGGGAGGGAGGGAGGGAGAGAGAGAGAGCGAGCGAGCAAGAGAGAAACATTGATGTGAGAGAGACACATCGACTGGTTGCCAGCTGCACAACCCCAACCGGAGCTGGGGATGAACCGCAACTGAGGTACATGCCCTTGGCCAGAATCAAACCGGAGACTCTTTGGTCCATGGGCGATGCTCTTACCGCTGAGCCATACCAGCCAGGGCATGGGGCAGGATTTTAATGAGGAGAAGGTCAGGGCCTCACTAGTTCTGCTATGGGCCACACTGCAGTCATCCTGATTGTAGAAGGGAAACAGGCTTTACAGTTGGTATGCTGAGACCATAGCTTGATATCTCTTCACTTTCCACACTGGGCAGGGCTCTGAAGGACTCAGAAGTGACTGAGCACAGATACTGTTACTAGCAATCTTTGCTAGGAGATTTGGATGGACAGACTGGCAGGGGTACCTAGTAATGGCTTTCTCACCAGTGCCAGGCTGGCCTCCAGGGCTGGGATGGTGAATATGTGGAAGTAAGCCAGTGGTCCAGCAGGTGGCGCCAAAGGGCACAGCAGAGGGACAGGGCTTGACTAGGGAATCTTAAAGACTTCTTGGAGGAAGTGTCTTCCTAAACTCCAACCACAGATTTCTGTAGGCCCAAGCTGAATCTACAAGGCACAGGATAAGGGAGGGCCTTTGGGCAGAGGAATACAGACTACCCCCTCCCTTCCACCCCATGAGGGCCTCTTTGGCCTGGCGGGCAGCCGCCTGTCCACTCCCCAGCTGTCTTCCTCTGGAGGAAGACGCTGACCAGCTGGAACCTCATTCTCTCCTATTGAGGCCAAATGAAGGGAGGACTAGTGGAGTGGCTTTTTTGGGGGCTGGGAGGCAGCTGCTGAAGCCAGGCAAGGAGGAGGAAGAGGATTTCCCTGCCTATTGAAGTCCTTGAGAGAGAAGCAGACAGCTGGGCTCGTGTCATTTCTGCCAGGCCTGTCCTGTCTTCTTTCTCCTAGGAAAGAAGGTTCTGGCTCTCATTGGGCAGGGGAGAAAATCAGGGGCTGCTGCTGCAGCAACCTTGTAGTTGACCCAAGGGGACGAAGTGCTGGACTTGGCATAGGATCATCCAGAGCTGGCCTAACCTGGGTTAGAAGGGGGTCTTAGAAGGGACTGGGGGTGTGTGATTGCAATTGATTCTTATTTGGCTTAACATTTTCTTTGGTGCGCAGATAGATCTTCTAGCATGAGAGGCTGGGGGCAGCCAGGGGATACTACCACTGGCCCCCAAGTCTGCTGTCAAGGCTGAAAAGTGAGTCATAACTGGCCTGTTCCACATCACTGCAGGGAGAGCAACAAAGCCAAACTGCATAGTCTTCCCACAGGGCTCTCTTCTGAGGTGGGGCCAGGACCCTGAGGTACCTTCGTTGGGCCCTGACCCCAGCCCCACTCCCAACATAAACTAATTATTTCATTTGGGGCACAAGGAGTGGGGAGGTTTAGAAAACAAAGACTGGTTTGTGGGGATCTGTCTGAGAAGACGAGGCTAGATGGGGAGTGTAGAGCCCTAGGGCATGAGAACCCTGGAAGGGGTGGAGGTGTGTGGATACTGGCCATGGTGACAGAGAGCTCCTCTTCCTTATGCAGTGACAGGGCCTGGTGCCTGCTCTCTGTGCCTTATTTCCTCTGACAGCTGATGATGTAGGTGGTTGTGGAATCAACCGGATAGTACTAATTTCCCCCTCCCTGCCCAGAGGATTGTGAGTGTAAAAGAGCATCCTTAGATTCTAGGGAACATGATGGTTAGAGGGGCTGGTTGAAGTGCAAGCAGGAATATTGCAGGAGGTGGTGTGTGGCATGGTCCTGGGGTACATGAGATTCTGGAGGCATCAGGGGCAGGAAGGATATACTGTCCAGGGTAGAGAAGATGCAAGCTGGGGTCAGAGACCAAGGCACAAAGCTCTCTCTGAGGTGCCTTCCCTTTGCCAGCTATCAGGTCAGGGTCAGAAGGCTGGCCATTTGGGCCTCTTGGTTTGCAGCTGCAAATGGGCCCTGTCTGAAGCCCTCAGTTTGAGAAGGGGGCCTGTCTCTTCTCAGCACACATCCTGTAGCTGACCCAGCCAGACTGGGGGCGGAGAGAGGGCAGCCGCTTGGCCCCAAGCCCAGGAGAGCAGAGGTTGTAGCAGGGCGCTGGGCCGGGTGGGAGCTAGGGGAGCAGCAAGCAGGCGGAAAGAGGGGGGTCAGGCCAGGACAGGAGCTGTAGCTTCTTTCTTCTACCGCCTTCCTGGAGGGCCCTGTGGGAGCTCCCCTAATGGCCAGCCCTGTGAGTTGAAGCCTGGGCCATCAACCTCCTTCCCTTTCTTCCCTTGGTATTGTGGGCCACTTCCTACCAGGGGGTCTTCCTTGGATAGCGTCAACACTGGTGCTCAAGATATTATCTCAGGATAGAGGCCTGGCTGTGGCCCACACAAAGCTTGGGTGAGGCCCATGCTCAGTGCCTAATTCAGGGCAGCAGCCTCTACCTCATCCTTCAATGGGTGCCCTCCAGGCCTGGTCAGCTCTCTTGTGCCTTGACTTCATCACTAGTGCAGGCTGGAGGAATGTTAAGGCTGCTGCAGCCTGACTATGGCCTAAGACCTTCCCCTCCTCCACCTCATCCCCACATAGGTGACTGCATAGAACTTGCCTCAGCCCTTCTGTGGCATTGTCTTAATAGTTAGAGACAGAGCTTGCCCCTTGCAAGTGGAGCTGGGCAGCCCCAACCCTTCCCAGCTCCACAGCCCCCTCTGGTGCCCATGTACTATCCAGAACAGAGAACCTCGGGGAGCCTCTGCCTGGGACTGACCTGAGTCCAGCCTCCTGTCTAGGTCTCTGGATCTCCTCCAGGCCATCCTGGGCAGACGCCTGGCCCTGGCCTCAAGCCCTAAAGGAGGAGGCAGTGCTCAATCTTTGGAGTGGACTGCACAGGGCAGCTCTCTGCCGCTTCCGTCACTGCCTGACTTGGCATCTTACTCTAGAGGGGCCTTCCCATTGGCTCCCCTCTGACCTTCCCTAGGGAAGCTTCACCACACCCCACTCCTCAGGCTTTCCTCCCCTTGCCATCTTTCCCTCCTGCTCTGTTCCCCCCAGCAGCCAAAGTGACCCTAACTAGATGGGGTATTCCCTGCTTACATCCTACTCATGGATCCCTTGTGCTCAAAATGAAAGCAGGACCCTCAGCCCAGCCTGCAGGACTAGCCTCCAGGCCCCAGCCTGCTGGCAGCACTGCCCTGGTTCCTTTCTCTCTGCCAACCCTGGCTGTGCTCAGTTCCTCGAATGCGACTGTCACTCAGTGAATGCCTCCAGGTTTTTGCACACACTGTTCCCTCTTCCCAGAACACACTTTTATCTCCCAGTTCTTTCATCCCCTAGGCTGGCCAGTGTGCCTCACCTCCACGTGCCCATTGTTCCTTTGTCTTGCCAAAACACTGTTCACACCTGTTTCCCAATCACTGGTGGAGCATGGATTCCATCCTCCCTCCACCAAGGGAGGGGCCATACCTGTTTTATGCTCCTGGTGCTGGAGTAGGGGCACACTTGAGCAGGAGATTAACCAGTGGTACTTCCCTGCAGCACCCTCAAGGCAGCATTCATTATCAAGGGGCTGGTGGCCTGTGCAGGCTGGGAACGGGTGTGGTGTCAGAACTTGCAGCCTCTCTGACAGGCTGCCTGCTGTTGTGTATCTCCCGTAGTTACAGCTACATGATTGACAATGTGATCCTACTCATCACGGGCACGCTGCACCAGCGCTCTATTGCTGAGCTTGTGCCCAAGTGCCACCCACTGGGCAGCTTTGAGCAGATGGAGGCCGTGAACATTGCTCAGACACCTGCGGAACTCTACAATGCCATTCTGGTGGACACGCCCCTGGGTGAGCCACTGTGGTGGAGGGAGGAGGTGGGCATCAGTGTCAGTGCCTCATTGTAGGGTTTGCAGATCCCTGGGGGTGACCCTGACTCAGAATTTGAGGCTTGCCCACTATTGCTTACCTTTATGTTCCACTCGATTTCCCCTCCCGTTCCTTCTTCTTTACCTTGCCTTCTCCTTTGCTGTTGCTTTAGCTAGGTCAGGCAGGCTACCCCCAGGCCTGACTCAGACCATCATTTAACGTTGTGAAACGGAATGATTTCTCAGAATGCAGAGGAGGGCTGAGCTCAAGGAAAGTGTTCAGAGGCCCAGGTCCCTCAGAGTCTTGGGGGTGCTTAGACTGTGGCCGCAAAGAGGGCAGGAGTGGGAGGCTGCCCATGAGCAGAGGAGGGGAGCAAATAGCTTCACTTGCCTCTACCCAGCAGGTCCCAGGGGCCAGGTCATGCAGTGTCCGGCAGGATATAGGGTTCATGTTAGAGGCCAAGAAAGGGGAACTGAGAGCTTCCTGCATGCAGGGCCCCGCCTAGGCAGTGGTGGCTCCTGCCTGCTGTGTCGGCTGGGTAGAAGGCATTAAGGCTGTCACCAGCTAGTGTCCTCATAGCCAGAGTCCTAGTCCCCTGGGCACTACCTCCAGGAAGCTTCCAGGGTTGAACCACTGGGCTCCAAGCTGCACTTGGTCCTATGCAAAGAGGCCTGAGTCCTACCTGTTGGCCTCATCTGTCACAGAATCTCCCAGTAGTTCTGAGCTGTTTGTGGCTTCTTTAATTTCTCCATCTTTTCTTTTCTTTTCTTTTCTTTTCTTTTCTTTTCTTTTCTTTTCTTTTCTTTTCTTTTCTTTTCTTTTCTTTTCTTTTTTTTCTTTTCTTTCATAATCCTCACCGGAGGACATTCTTTTTGCATTTTATCTTCAGATAGAGCTGGAGGGAGAGAGGAAGGAAGAGAGAGAGAGAAACATTAATGTGAGAGAGACTGGGGCTGGGGACAAACTGCAACCGAGGTACGTGCCCTTAGTACCAATTGAGGTATGAACCCGGGACTCTCTGGTCCGCAGGCCGATGCTCTAACCGCAGAGCAAAACTGGCCAGGGCAATTTCTCCATTTTTAAAAAAGAGACAGTCCTGGCCGGTTTGGCTCAGTGGTTAGAGTGTCGGCCTGCGGTCCAGAGAGACCTGGGTTTGGTTCCCACTAAGGGCACGTACCTCGGTTGCAGTTTGTCCCCGGCCCTGGTTGGTCGTGTGGGTGGCAGCCACTCGATGTGTCCCTTTCACGTCGATATTTCTCTCTCTCTTTCCCTCTCTTCCTCTCTCTCCCTCCCACTCTATCTGAACAAAAAATGGAAAAATGTCCTCGGATGAGGATAAAAAAAAAAAGAGAGAGAGACAGACCAGTGAGCCCACAGGTTCCCCTTGAAGTGGGGTGAATTTATCCTGCTCTTTTTCTATTTCCAGCCTGACAGTGGCCCCGTGGGTCTGGCCTATGACCATTTAGATGTTGAACTCATTCCTTGTCCTAAAGAAGAAGGCTGGTTTTCCAAATGTGGGCCACAGGTCCTCCTGGCGATGCAGAGAAGTGGGCGTCAGACCCCAAATCCACAATTGCCCCTCAAGAGGGAGGATGTCATGGTTTCTTATGCAAGCCTGTCTTTGGCATGGTGGAGCTTGGTTCTGCCCCAGCAGTGATTAGATCATATTATGGCTGGCTGCCTCCTTTATAAATCAGTTTTAGGAGCAAGAAGGGAAGAGATGCTCAGGTCAGTATACATAATCCAGAGTATTGCTTCTGCCACTTCCAAAGTGGGGGACCAATACCCAGCCAGATGGACCTTGTGGTAGGGTCCCTATGTACCCTGAAGGAATAATTAAATATCAGCAGCGTTCTTCTTTTTTAATTCATTTTTAGTTTATTTATTTATTTGTTTATTTATTTATTTATCCTCACCAGAGGACTTTTTTTTTTCCATTTTTGTTCAGATAGAGTGGGAGGGAGGGAAGGAGGGAAGGAGTGTGTGTGTGTGAGAGAGAGAGAGAGAGAGAGAGAGAGAGAGAGAAACATCGATGTGAAAGGGACACATCGAGTGGCCGCCACCCGTACGACCCAACCAGGGCCGGGGACAAACTGCAACCGAAGTACGCACACTTAATGGGAACCAAACCCAGGTCTCTCTGGACCGCAGGCCAATGCTCTAACCACTGAGCCAAACTGGCCAGGGCTATTTTTATTTTTTTATCCTCACCCGAGGATATTTTATCTTCAGATAGAGAGGGAGGGAGAGAGGGAAGAAGAGAGAGAGGGAAACATCGATGTGAGAGAGACACATCTTCTGGTTGCCACCCACACAACCCCAACCGTGGCCAGGGACAAACTGCAAGCAAGGTACGTGCCCTTAGTGGGAACCGAACCTGGGACTCTCTGGTCCACAGGCTGACTCTCTAACCGCTAAGCCAAACCGGCCAGGGCCATTAAATCCTCACCCAAGGACAGTTTTCTGTTTATCTTCAGATAGAGTGGGAGGGAGGGAGGGAGGGAGGGAGGGGGAGAGAGAGAGAGAGAGAGAGAGAGAGAGAGAGAGAGAGAGAGAGAGAAAAAACATTGACATGAGAGGGACACATTGACTGGTTGCCTCCTGCACAAGCCCAACCAGGGCTGGGGCGAACCACAACCAAAGTACATGCCCTTGACTAGAATCGAACCTGTGACTCTTTGATCTGCAGACCAACACTCTGCTGAGCCAGACTCGCCAGGGCTCTTTTCTTTTTAAAAGAATTTTTATTGATGTTTTTTAGAGAGAGAGGAAGAGAGAGAGAGATAGAAACATTGATGTGAGAGAGAAACATCTATTGGCTGCCTCCTGCACGCACGCTACTGGAGATGGAGCCTGCAACCTGGGTATGTGCCCTGACCAGGAATGGAACCAGGACTTCTCAGTCCATGGGATGATGCTCAGTCCACTGAGCCACACTGGCCAGGAGAAGCATTCTTGCCTAACTGAAGTACACTCACCCACCCCTTACACCCAGTCTTTTCTCCCCAGCGGCTTTTTTCCAGGACTGCATCTCAGAGCAAGACCTTGATGAGATGAACATTGAGATCATCCGCAACACGCTCTACAAGGTAGTGCCCCTGCACTGTGAGCAGTGGGAGTATTGTCTCCCGCCTTCTAAGTAGTGGAGGATTGTCTTGCAGGTGGGCTGTCTGTGGGCGTGGTGGGCCAGTGATTTATGTGGGGTGCTGGGGCAGGGTGCAGCTGTACCAGGCTCTAACCCTGGGGGCTTATCTGCTCACTTTCTGGTTCCCATGATGGGCACAAAGCTTCATGGAACAGGTTCTCCATCCCTAGGTGCCCACGGCGGGCCTAGATAAGATCAGCAGGAGTGGCGGTGCTCCATAGCTTGGCTTGTCAGAGCTGGCTCCTGGATGACTGTTCTCCCTGCATCCCGGAGGGTCATGGGCTACCACCTAGCTCTCAGGCTCACCCCACCTGGACTGTTGCCAGCAAGGACAGGCACGTGAGCAGAGACAACAAGTGTGCTTAGTTACGGTGCAGGAAGGACCCAGCCAGGCATAGCCAGGTCCCTGTGTCTATGTCAGGTTCCCAGGCCTAGAGCCAGTGCCATGTCCCATCATCCTCATCCCCCACCTACCTTCTGCTTCTTACCAGGCTGTGGTACAGGCTGGTGACCCCTGGAGATAGAGTGGGCTTGGGTTTCCTGGGTCAGCACTGCCCTGGCCTAAAGAGGCGAGGAGCAGGGCTGGCTAGGGGCCAGTGAGGGACACTTGGGATAGACTGGGCTGTAATTGTGGCGAAGGACTAAGCTGTTGCGCGAGGACCTCTTTTGGGTTGTAGCCAGGAACATGGGTCAGCAGTGGGCAGGCCCTGGAGGGGGGCTGAGGATAGCACGGGCTAAAGGCCCTGCTGACCTAACCCTGAGAACATCTGTCTATCAGATCTATATAATGAGGGTCCTCACCTGCCCTGGTTGAAGTTAGGTGGCTGACTTTTGGCTAAGCCCAGGCCCTCCAGTCTCCCTCTACGGGTCTCGGCCAGGGTGGAGGCAAGGAGGTCTGGTGGTAGTGAAGGACCTGCCTGGAGGGTGCAGTGGTGTTGGCAGGGAAACAGCACATGCAGAAGCAAGCGTGGAACATGGACCAAGTGGCAGTGGTTTGCAGTGGAAGTGTAGGATCCAGATGGACAGCAGGAGATAGGTCTGGAAAAAGAAGCAGGCACAGGATCAAGTCACCCAGGGCCTTGAATGCCAGGCCCGGAGTTTGAACTTTATCCTGTGCACAGGGCCAGCCAATAAAGGTTTCCAACAGATCAGAGCATCATCAGAAAGCCCCTCTAGCTCAATGTGGAGGACAGATTAGAGGGAATAAGACCAGAGGTAGGAAGATTCAACTTTTTTGTCCTCAAGACTGCCCTAGGAGCTAGGAAGGCATCAGTCTTCTCATTTGTAAGATGAGAAAACTGAGGGCTCAGAGAAAAAGGGTGGGTTGCCTGAAGCCACTTGCTAGACACTGGCAGTACTGGGGGATCACACCTGGCTCAGCCTGTTTGCAAAGCAAGTGCTCTCATCCACCCCCATAGTAGGGAGGGAGGCAGACCAGCCAGCAGAGAGAGAGAGAGCAAGAGTGCTTCTGCCTGCCTAGCTGGCCTATTGCCGGAATCCCTGCCCTGAGACAGGGTGAGGGGTGCGGCTGTCCCCCCAGCCTCACCCACACCCTCACCGGGCCTGACTGGTTTTAGCTGGAGTCACTGGCAAGGGCTGCTTGGGCACCAGCTTGTAAACATTGATCCAATGCTGCAGGCATCGTGCCAGGACCGCCCGCCCAGGAGGCAATGTCCCAGCCCAGTGGCCACAGATGGGAGATTAGGCGGACCCTCAGCTGCCTACTGGGTGGGAACTGTAGGCAGCTGGCACAACAGCCATGGGCTGGCAGATTCCTCCAGGGCACGGGGTGGAGGTGGGGATGTGACCTTGGTATCAGGGCCTTTGGGGTCTTGCCAGTTTCTTCAGCTGCCCTAGCCTCCAGAAGAGAGTCTGGGTCTGTCCCATCAGCCTTCCTCACCGTGGGATCAGCCTCTCTGCAAAAGCTGGTGGCTTCCCCCACGGATAGGAACTGTAGACCCCATTGGATGGAACAGACCTGGGGAAGGACATGGCTTGGCTGGCCATGGGGAAGGAAGTTGCTAGGGATAGTGCTAGAAGGACTGAACAGTACCACCAAGCCATGGTAGGGTTGGCAGCTGTTTCTGCCACCCTCTGATTCCTAGGGATCCGCTGTACTGTGCCTCACTCTCCCCTTCCAGCTTTTTACTCCCTGATCTGTCCTAGACTTTTGTTTTCTGTGACCCCAGTGGTCATCTCAGTCCTTTTTCTGAGCCCTGCTTGCCCAGTGCTGCTGGCTGGGATGGGCCTGGGTTTGTTGACTCCTAGGTCTCAACTCACTTCCTCCAGTGGCCCAAGTCAGCTGGTGGTAGGTGCAAAGGTCTTTTCATGCTTTCTAGCCCTTGCCCCCAAGAATAGCTCTAGCCTGTGAAGCCAGAGTTCCTGTGACCATGCCTACACATCAGACCCAGGAGGATCTGAGTGAAGGGAGTTCTCTAGGGAGGCTGCAAGACCATCCCCTTCCTTGAAATAGAGAGGTGTGGGGAAGGAAGCCTGTGCCTGGCTGCTTTTAAGAATGAATTCTGGGAGGGACCTGGGGCCTGGGCTGATCATGCCCAGCAGATCCAGTTTGCCTGGGCAGGAAATGCTTGTTCCCACCGGCAGCTCGCATGTCCGGCCATTGCTCTGCAGGGCTGACGTTCATGTAGGCAATAATCGTTTCTCAGCAGGAACTGGGTTGACAGTTTGGTTCCTACTGTGTGATGTCTGGGGGATGGGAGGAGGAGAAAGTGTTCTGTAAGGTAGGGGGCAAAGAGGAACCAGGGCACCCAGTCCAGGCCATCTCCATGAACTCTCAGGAGTAACCTTCCCTCACTAGACCATTGACATGTGGTTTTCTGAGGTTGAGGAGAGAAGATCTGGGGGAAAAGCAGGCAGAAAACATGGAGAGACAGAGTCCTTCTCTGAGTTTGGCCTTCTGTGGGGTGAGGGTGTGGGGGCACTGGACCATGAGTCAGATAGTTAGCCAGAAATTGCTCTGTCACTCTTGGGTTGGGGGACAAGGCAGCAGGCTGTCACTGATTGGCTGGTTATTGGAGTTTGTGGCTGTTGCAGGGGCTCTGACATGGGGGCTGCCATGGCTAGTCCATGGTTGTGATCTTTAGACTCAACATGAATAGGACTGGGGAGGGAAGGGGGGAACTATGAGTAGGAGGCCTGGCAAGCCCCCCAGAGTCTCCCTGCTTGGGCTGAGCAAGCCCCATGCTCTGCACAGGCCTACCTGGAGTCCTTCTACAAGTTCTGCACCCTCCTAGGCGGGACCACAGCTGATGCCATGTGCCCTATCCTGGAGGTGAGTGCCTGCCCACCCTCCCATCTGCTGGTCCCTGGGGAAGACAGGCCTAGGGGAAGCCCTGCCAACTGACTGGCTTCTGCCTTCCTCCCCTCCCTCTCTCCTTGCCTATGCTCTGGCCCCACAGTTTGAAGCAGACCGCCGCGCCTTCATTATCACCATCAATTCCTTTGGCACAGAGCTGTCCAAGGAGGACCGTGCTAAGCTCTTTCCGCACTGTGGGCGGCTCTACCCAGAGGGCCTGGCGCAGCTGGCTCGGGCTGATGACTATGAGCAGGTTAAGAACGTGGCTGACTACTACCCGGTGAGTGCCCTGGCTACTGGACTGAGGGCAGGCATATTAGCATTTGCATCCCTACCCCACACCCAACAGTGCCCTCATGCTCATGCTTCCCACCACTCCCCTGGGCCAGGAGTACAAACTGCTTTTCGAGGGTGCAGGCAGCAACCCTGGAGACAAGACCCTGGAAGACCGATTCTTTGAGCATGAGGTGGGTGCCAGGCTTGCCCATCATAGGGAGGGGTTGGTGGCTCAGGCCTGACTCTACAGTCACGGCCACCTGCACACCACACTTGCCTCTGTCTGCAGGTGAAACTGAACAAATTGGCCTTCTTGAACCAGTTCCACTTTGGTGTCTTCTACGCCTTTGTGAAGCTCAAGGAACAGGAGTGTCGCAACATTGTGTGGATTGCTGAGTGCATTGCCCAGCGCCACCGCGCCAAGATTGACAACTACATCCCCATCTTTTAGCACCCTGGCCCAAGCCCCTCACAAGTGTGTGTCTGTGTGTGTTGTGACCAAGGCCACAGCACACCTGCCTGCCCTGGGGGTAGCACATTGTCCTAGTGACTGCACAGCTTCCCTGATCTTCTAAGACTGCTCTTGGGCCTGAAAAGGGGCTGGGTACCTACTCCCCCACCAAGGATAGACCAAGTCCCCTTCCAGATTAGAGATGACTCCCTCAGCGCTGTTTACAGCCTCTAACATGTCTAAGAAGCATGTGGTCACTTTTGTGCCCCTTCCTAATCTGAGAACCCCTGGGGGCAGTCTGAGTCTCCTCTCCCTTCTGTGGGTCGCCCCCAGAGCCATGGCCCAGAGGAAATAGTGTGTGTATGTCCTTGGGGAATACGGGAAGTAGCTGTACATCTCTCTCTTGGCTCTGCCCCTCTGAACAATAAACCGCCCTCTGTAAGCCTGGCTGTCTGCTGTCCTTTGGGCCTCAGTTCCTTTTCCAGACCCCTAGCTTCCTTTGGGTGCACCCTTTATGAGCCCACCCCCACCTGCCTAAGCCTTCTACCTTTCTCGGTCATTCTCAGGCAGCAGTCCCAGGCTGGCCTTCTTCTGAGCAGCCAGATTACTCAGGGCAGGGGTGTCACTGGAGGATACCTCCTTCCTCTTTTAGAGTCTTGGGTCCTGGCTCTGGAGAGCTCCCACACCTCCCTATTTGCTTCATTGAGCTCCAGGCCAGGGTCATCACCCCCATTTTGAGAAAACCCAAATCTATGCATAAATGATCAGCCCAAGGTCAATGAAGAGGGTAGTTGTGAACCCGAGTCTGTACCCAGAGCCTCATCCATGCTGAGCCCCAGAGGCTTCCTAGGCAGTTCCCAGTAAATCATAGAGCCACAGACTATCACCCCCTCCAAACACAGTGTCTCTCCCATTGTAGGAGAAGTAAAAATTTGTCTTTATTTTTAAAATGGCAAATCAGGCAAGTAGGGTGTGTAACCTTCCTGTGGCTTGGGGGCTTGAGGTGGGTGGTCAGGGCCCTAATTCTTGAGCCAGTCAAGAAATAATTGGAATTTACCCTTTGAATTGCAGCACTGAGGCACTAGTGCTGAGAAATAACCTGAGGGGGTCCCCAAACTACCCTGTCACTTCTTAGTTTGCAGAGGCACTGACTATGGGAACCTGTCAAAGGCTACAGCTACTTCTTGCACTTAATTCTCCATCCAGCTGGGTTATGCAAGCTGCAGGGCGGAGCCTTGTGCCCTGGAGGGTCTGTTCAGGCTCTTGAAATAGTAGAGAGGCCTAGAAGTTCACTGGGAAGCCTTAGCCTCATCAGACCTGACCTGGGACATTGGCAGTGGGTGGGACTGGGGTCCTTTAGTCCAGGTTCTAGGGCAGACTCTGGGGTCACAGTGCCCAGGAGAGGGCCAAGGGCTCATGGGGCCTCCTCTGTTGGAAGAGTTAGGCCAGGTATGCACACTGCTCATTGGGTCACAGTGGGGGAAAGGCCTGGGTTTGGGTCTGGGTCTTGGGCTGCATCCTGGGGGGTGGTAGGGCCTGGATTGCCAGGCTGCAGTGCTCTTGGCAGACAGGGACTGATGAAGAAGGCTTGCAGGAAGCGGCGCCGCAGGCCCTCAGGCAGGTAGTAGTGGATGAAGTACAGGAGTCCCACGCCATGGCCCGGGTAATAGCGGCGTTGCGGCTGAGCTGCCAGGAGTGCGTCAATGATGGCATCTACAACTGGGCTGAGGTCGGGCAGTGCCAGGCTCAGAGAATGCAGGAACTGCCCGTGCGTGTGCTCGATGTAGTCCTTGCCATAGGCCTGCAACAGCTCTTGGGGCAGGCCGGCCAGCAGCAGCTGTTTGCGCTGCTCCCAGTTTCCCACATTTTTCACTGACTCTGGGGAAAAAGTGGTAAGATTAGCATGGGGTCAGTTAGGGAAGCCAACTAACCAGTGACCCGCTTCCTGCCAAAGCCATGCCCATTCTTCAAACCTGTCCCTGCCGAAAATAAGACCATGCCCACCCCTCTTTTCCAGCCCCAGGCTTCGAACTAACCCCTAACCCTGATCTTCACCTGTCTTGAAGCAGCCAGGCTGGATGACGCTGACCTTGACCCCCCAGGGCAGAAGTTCACAGCTGAATATATCCATGAGCATCGCCACAGCTGCTTTGGAAGTCCCATAGGCCCCCAAACATGGATATGGCATGTCTCCTGGGGATGGATTGGGGGTGAAGCAGCTCAGCCTGGGCCAGTGGCTCCAGCATCCCTCCCCACTGAGGGGTTCCTTTTCTGCTGCAGTGTGGGTGTGCACTCACCTGCTGGGCTGCCTAGGGTCACAATGCGACCCCTGGAATGGCGCAAAAGCGGCAAGATGCCCTTGGTCAGTTGCAGTGTGCCAAAGAAGTTCACCTCCATGCATTTGCGGAATGTGGCCACTGGAGATAGCTCCACATCGGCCACAACATCATTGAAGCCTGCATTGTTGACCAGGCCCCACAAGCCTGAGTGCATGGAGCAGGGAGAGAAGCTGTGGGTCAGCCCAGCAGCAAACCTAAAATCCCTGCCCCTTCACACCCACCCAGCCACACTGCTCCCTGAGGAGCCGTGTCCACTGACCTGTGCTGGTGGTATGGGCCTTGGTGAACTCCAGAGCGCGGCTAATGTCGGCTGGCTTGCTCAGGTCCATCTGCAGCAGCCGTAGGTGAGGGGAACAGCATGCACGCAGCTCTAGGGCGCCGGGGCTATCCAAGTCCAACACGGTGGCCAGCACCATGAAGCCCATGGCATCTAGCTTCTTGGCCGCTTCCTTGCCAAAACCAGAGTCACAGCCTGGCCAGGACAGGATAGTCAGTGAACTCCCACTGTGGTCTAGTCCAGCCTGAGACAACTCTAGGATCACCAGGGTCCACATGGGATCCAGGCCCCTGGACACCCAATCTACCAGCAGTCAGCAGCCCTCCCTCCATTCCTAGATCCACCTCTGGCAGGCTTTGCCCCCTGGGTGAGGCCTGAGCTTCATCTCTTTCACAGCTGTCATCTCCCTGACTCCCCATAGCAACTCCATCAAACATGGCTTATGAGCCCCACTTTAAATAGGAGGAAACTAGTAATGCTAAGCTGCTTCCCAAAGTCACTTAGCCAGCACAGAGGCTGACCTGAGACAGAGTCCTGACCTTACTGAGATCTAGTCCCAGTCCTCATGTCCTTTTGCCTGCTTGATATCAAGCTTCCACTCACATGTTCAGTATTACTCACAGCCTTCCTTCCATTCTCGCTGCACTTGCCCAGGCTTCTTCCTCCTACCTGGACACTGAAACAGCCCCCTCTTTAGTCCTATCCCATCTTAATCCCTTATATATATTCTCTGCCTAAGCAGCCAGAGGGATCTTTCAAAAAATGACAATATAACTCTGCTGCGAAAACCTTCCCAAGGCTCCCACATTGTGTGGGATGAAGCTCAAACCCTCTGCTCCCATTCTCCAGGCCCTGCCCAACCTGAGCTGGCCTACCTTCCCAACCTCAACACTCCCTACTGTTGTCCAGGCTCTAGGCAAGGGGGAGGCCCATCTCAACTCACCCTTGATCCCCACCTTTGGAATTTCAATCAGTGGCAACAGTGGGGCATTCTCTGAGCTCCAGACCACTTGCCTCCAGGACAGGGACAATGATGGATGGAGAAAAGAACAGACCTGCATTTTAATCCCTTCCCACACCAACCAAGTGTGACCTGAGGTCAGTTACCACTCTTGCAGGCATAACTTCCTGTCTTTGGTATGTAGAGAAGAACCACCAGGCAGAGACAGAGCTGGGGTCTGATAAACCCCTGCTTCCTTGATTGTTCCCATTCCCATCCTGGTTCTGTGGACAGAACCTCCTCCCTCACTGCCCTTCCCCCTGAGCGGAAGCTGCAAAGCTGCTCTGCTTTCCCACTCCTGGATGGCTCTTCCCACCCCTGGATGGCTCTGCACCCACTCCCTGCAACGTGAGACAGGCAACGAAGCTGGGCAGAGGGCTTCGAGCTGGGCTTTGTGTGGCTGGGGGCCTGCCAGCCAGTCTAGGTTGGGGGGCCCTTCTTGGGCAAGTCTAGTTGGGGCAGAGGAGTGAGCACATGTGTATCTACTTGCCTAAGCAACCCCACCCCCACCCCAGAGCAGACAGGCCCTTCACAAAGAAACGAGGCCTCCTCCCAGAGCCTTACCTCTTTTGTCCCAGCACAATTAACAACATTTTGCACACACCCCCTTACTCACCTGCACACACATACCCGTACATACCTCCAACCTACCTGCAGTGAGCTGTGAACAACACACTGGCTCACTCTCATGAGACCCCTGCCACCCATCAGCGTACAGATATGCACACAAGGCACCTGGCCACACGGCTCAAACCCTGACCCCAGGACTGAGCTTCTCGAGTAGCCTTGGTCAGGGGCATTCTCAGGAAGGGGTAGGTGGCAGCTCTGGCAGGTGGGGCAGGGCCTGATCATTGATCATCTACTTGTCTCACAGTCAGGTGGTGAGGGACCTCCAGAGTTTTTGGGCATTAGGAAACTTGGAGGCTTATACCTGATACTTAGATGGGGTTGGCTGGGCAGTCCTCTTCACTTCCCCCATTGTGGGGCTTTGCAACCAGAAATGGGGGTGCCCAAGTCACAGAAGGCATCCCTCCTCATACCTCCCTCTCAGACTCAAGGCTAGAAGTAAGCAGCACCAAAGCCTGATATGAGCTCTCAGGAAAGACACTAGTACTTGCAGATGGCCTGGGTTCTGTTGAGGCAGCTCAAAAATTAGAAGGTAGGAGGGGAGCTATCCCATCTCTGGGGGCAGATCACAATCTAGTCCCCACTTCATACCTGGAGGGTCTGTCATCTTTCTTCCTCAAACCCCTGAAACTGGAGTCCCCTAAGGCTTCTTACTGTCCTCTGAATTCAGGTCTCCTCTTTCCAGCCGGAGCCCTTCTCTATCTCCACTCTCTTTGCTTGAAGCCCAAAGCCCTCATGCTACCCTTACCCTGCCTCAGCACAGTCTGGCTTCTTGCTTAGCACTCAAGGCCCCGCCTGAGGAAACAACCTCACATCCCACCACATCCTAGCAGCCAGACGGACTACTGATTGACCCCTATCCAGACCATGCTCATTCTTGCCTCAAGCCTTTATTCTACAGTCTTTGTCTCATACAAAACACCTTCCATACTCCACCTATTTCCACCTATCCTCTGAGGCCCAGATCAAGGATGGTCTCTGAGAAGTTCTCTGAGTTCCATCTGATCATGCAGGGCCCCCTACTGGACTGAGATTTCCGAGAAGCAAGTCTGGTGGCTGCCCCCAGCCCAAGCCCAGTGCAAAGGTAGAGCCCAGAGCACCTGTCCAAAGCTATCGGAGTTGGGGGAGAGACCAGGCTGCCCTCCCCCATAAAACGGAGCCAATGCCCCTGGCCTTTTGCCCCCTCCCCATTTCCGTTGGGGCCTC